TGCGCAGCACTTTGTTTGGTTTGAGGATTGAATCAGCAGGCATGAACTAGAAATGTTCAGTCTCACACTTGAATATTATTTGATGCATGATTTATGAACACATAAATGTTGACACAGTGTTGTCCACTTTCATCCACAAGGAAATTTTTAAAGATTTCTCTTATATTATTTCCACACAGGCCAGTATCACTCTTAAACTTGTTTCTAAAGTCCAACAACTCAAAACACATAATGTTGTTACAGGAATCAATATGATTTAGCATGTTGAAAATGTTTACCAAAAGCTTTTTTTAAAACACAATAAATTATCAGAAATCACCAGAGGAAATAACCCAAAAATATTTGATTTTTGTGTTATATATTTTACCAGCCTGAAATTATTGGGCCAAAAACTTAACTACCCCCTTCAAAACCTTTGGCCTGTATGAGAAGTATGAATCAAATAACCCCTAAACGGAGGTTTCATGTATCATGACTTTTGAATCAAAGGTATCAACTCTTCCTATGGTAACAGGATTGTTTGCATGATGTAAACGTATTTCAGTAGAGTTAAATTCCATATGCCAAATGACCTTAATCCATCCTTTGTCTGTTCAGTAAGCTGAAATATTTAATTACTTACACTTGTCTTTGATTTGTAGCAAGTAGAGGCCATAAATGGAAGATAATCTTCTTAATTCCTGCCATAAAACTCAAGTCCAGACTCCAGTTAATTAACAGCTTTGATGTGCTCGTTAAATCACTGCCTGTTAGGTAATGAGTTATTGTCTTTTGAAACGAGATCTGTCACAGACCATGAGATTCTGATGAGCTTGACTGTGAATTGTTCTGAACCATACAGTCAAGGCTAAAAATAGATCCCTCATCATGTGACAGGTCATGTGACTAGTGAATGCATAGCCAGTGGGCCACCTGTGACCTGGCTCATGGAGACAGCAGTACAGCTCTAGGATAGAAAGTGCTGACGAACAAATTTGTTGCTGAGGTTAACCATATGTCAGGTTTTGGAGGCTAAGATAAGCATTTTGGTCTGGATTTGTACAAGGATTCGAACATGGTGAATTATGGTAAGAGTTTGTGGAGTTTGTTTCACTTGTTCAGCTGTAGAAACTTAATTTGTAGCGAGTGGGCTGTTAGATTGATATAACCGGCAGCATGGCTTCCACACTTTCGTGTTTGAGATACTGATAAACAGACTGCTTATAATTATTGTACTGTTTTCAGATACAATTATTGGACTGTTTTCAAATACTTGTAAATATTTTCCACTTTATATGCTGGTTATGAATGTCTATAGACTATAGATGTACTTGTTTCACAGAATTTATGTAACTTATGCAAGACAGTATGAAAATGCGGGTTTTAGTAATGGATTTATATTTTACCAGAGGTGTCAAAGTGTTATATTCTGTGTTTTGTAGAGAGGCCTTTAGTATATGTTCAAGTCAAATTTACATAATATCTGACAGACAATTGTCTAATGTTTTTCTGTAACCAAGAGCTTCCTTATGTAATTGGCATAATTTACAAGGGGACTTACCAATACAGTTAAGCAATTTTACAATACACACATAGTATACAATACAGTACATTCAAGCAGATGTTAAGGTTCATCTTTGTTACTATTACATTACAAATGTTAAATATTTGAATCATAATTTCTGTGTTTTGGTTACTTGCAATTACTATTTGTTGTACCAGAGGTAGAACCTTAAAGAACATCTAAGGAAATAAATGTTTTTGTTTTTGTCTTTATAACCTGACAAACATTAATTTAGGATTTACACATGGGACTTGTTTATTTGTGGTTTGAATTCAGTGATGTAGTTAATATTTTGTAATGTTTATGTTGTCTTAAGGGCAAAAACCATGAAATTTATTATTTCCTGAAAAGAGGTCTATTTCATACTTCAGTTAATGTTCGCTCACTGAAACATTTTACACAATACCTACCTGATATAACCAAGTGCCCAAATGATTCTTTGTAACCCAGTCTTTCTTTTTATGTGTGCTGTTTAAATATCAGTTGTAAAGTTACATGCCCTCAATAACTTGTGGCTCATTTCAATTTAGGCAGCAGAATGACGTTAGTCATGATTGATAAACAACATTGATAAGACCAATTACATCTGTACGGAATGTGTTGACGTTTCAAGTAATGGATCCATACGTCACATATGGGACAGTCCATTGTATTAACATACTGAATGCCGGCATGCCGAGTGCAGTCACATGTACTCAAGCTGTTGGTCGGCAAGTCGTTGTGAATGGCGAGTAGATAATGTTTGATCAATGGCTCACAGCTACCTGCAAAAGGAGGTCACTTGGAGATCTATGAAACTGCAGTCCGGGTAATAGGGTGGGGTTCAAATCAACTCAGTTTGGGGTAGTCTGATTTTTCCACAATCTCTCAGGGTTCTGACCAAGTTTAATAGACTTTTAAAATAAAAATAGTTCAGTAACTTTAAAGATCCGGCGAACTTCCGAGGTAAAGATCAGTTTCGCTGACTTGGTTGACAAATGTCATCGGTTCCCAATTATTGCTCATGCTTTCAATTGTCTGGTCCAGACTATTATTTACAGACCGCCGCCCATTAGCTGGAATATTGCTGAGTCGAAAACTGTAAAAATGTAAAAAATAAATTAATCAAATAATGATTTTGAGACAGAAAATGTTTAGTTAATTATGTCTTTTGAATGATAAGTCGTATGGAAAGATACAAGATTTATGGGTTTTATACCATTATATTTCAGCATTGGCATTACAAATACTTCACAATATGACATTGCAGAATTGATTCCTGATTGTGGCAACACATAATTCATAGATATTGGGATTTTTAAAAAATGTTTGAAGTGGAGGACATAACACATATATAATAAGATATATTCCACGAATACCAATATTTTGTCTTTGCGTTGTGTGAGTACCTCAGTTTTGTGGTGTAGGTCACATGCATAATTATGGGAGTGGTATGAAGATTAATGATAAGTGGACATAGTGTTGCCAATTAATGTGATAGACAGTGATGTTGAGTGTTAATATTTCACCACATACATTGTGGAGATGACCCTGAACTTATATACCATAGCTATATTGTCAGGTTACAGCCATGAAAGAAATGAAAGCCAGCTGTGGATGTATGTAGACATGAAGGAATGTCTGGCTTGATAATTTTTGTGCTGAGTCACAACTGAAACATTAAGCTGTATATATATATATATCATCTTGTTGCAAAAGAACAGAAAACAGTGGTTGTCTAAAACTAGATGACAACATTATCTCTGACGTATGTCTGGTAGTGACTTGGTAGGTGATGATTATCTTTCAGTGAATTGTCCTCAAACTATTCCTGTGAAAGGAATGTTTCAACTTGTAAGAAAATGGTTTAGGAAAAACAAATGATGCTTATTAAGTAACAGTGCGCTGGAGATGTCCAGATAAAATCACGGTACAACAACAAAATATGTATTTTTTGTTGAGTGGATATTAAATATGTGACTAAACAGGGTTTTTATACCAGGAAAAGACATAATACATTCCCCAAATTTCAGAAAGGACTAGGAAATACACCATCCATCTAAGAGTAGATAATATTAGATATGCAAAAAATAATGAAATGTCTGAACTGTAGATTCTATGTTTGGGATTATACTACCAGGAAATAGAAATATACCATTAGAGATTATGTAATTAACTATCATAAATTTACAGATGGGTTTAAGGAATTACTTTAATAATTTATGTGATTAACTATTATAAATTTAAAGATGGGTTTAAGGAATTACTTTCATAAGTTGACAGATTATGATAAACAATACATTATCCATGTGTGGTAGACACCCACTGGATGATCTGGTGAGAGTTTTGGAATATCAGAGTTGGGATGGTGACAAGCTGTTTCTCATTTTCACACATGAAAATGCCCAACACATGCTTTGGTATTAACTGGAACTGGTACATGAGGCCAGGAGGATGGAGAAGGGGTGTTGGTGACATCAGCAAGGAAACCCGATAGCCTAGCACTTGCTTAGTACATACTTGGTGTGTGCCTCCATATGGCAGGCTGGTCCAGACCAATGGTTGGCCAGCCAGGCTCCCAGCAGCCTTCAGTGTGGGGGCAGCTTCTGCTCAGCAAAGTTTCCAAGTCCCCACCCGGTGGAGTGTATGTTGGAGTGGGGTTGGGAATTACTACTTGTGAAGTGGAAAGTTTTATGAAGTTGTTTCCCATCCTATTCCTAAGGGAAGTTTTTATGGAATGAACAAACTTTAACCATATAAAATCATGGAGAGGAGCAGAAGACGAAGGCACAGTGCTCCTCCACATTTACGTAGTAGGTATAATACATCCCTCGTTATAACGCCATTTTTACCCTTTGTTTCCATGGATGTCAGGAACATGTGGAATTCATCTGGATTGTGTCATATACTTGTGAGCTACTTGAAGTGTGAATTTTGGCATTTCTAACTTGTGGAGGATGATTCCCGGATTTGTGTTATAGTGAGGTTGGAATGTGTGGCTAATAATAGCAGTTCATGTCATGAGAAGATGGTGTTGTCAGCTTCCCAACATGTGAGAACTGTACGCCTTATATTGTACAAGTATTTGGGATGTGGGATGGTAGAAAGTTTGACTAACTACCAGATAGATATTCAACAAGAGAATCACACAGTGACCTGGTCTTGTGTTATTGTGTGGATGATAAGCTCAAGTGTGCACTCGGGACATTGGCCAACCAGTGACCTTGACCCCACAGTTATTTAAGTCATTGCCTGTTCAAGAAATCAGAACATTCCTCACTGGGTTAAGGCATGTCTCAGCCGAACCTGTGGTTATTAAGTAATATGATTTAGATACTGTTGGCCAAAAAAACAGACCGTGAAAAAGTTTTGGACATATTTAACCTTTGTAGAAGTTTCTGTGGCATTCGTTACACATATTTTTTTCCACCAATATGGCTGCTTTAGAATATTCTTAGAATTTACCTCTTTTCTTCAGAACCTGCATCGGCAGGCAACTTGACTGGAAAGGATGCAAAACAAAAGGGAGGAAAAAAGAAACTGAGAGACTTAAACCGAAAGGGGGATGAAAAAGAAGGAACAGACATGGACGCATTCTTAGATGCTGAGGTAATGGTTTAAAAAAATTGGATTTGTTCATATATTTTACAACTTATCTTGAATATACAGTTAACATTCTCTCGAGCATTCACATAAAGAACAAGTTAAAAAGTCACTGAATAGGAATTTATGTGTTTTGTAATAAGTTATAAATACTGCGCCGGCAATATTGTCTAGGGCAGGATGACCCCTCAGAGCTATGCATATGTCTGCCATGTTTTGTGCTTCTGGGTTAAGCGTAATGGCGCTTTGAATAGACTTCCAAGTCAGTTCACATGAAAGCTGTTTTAAGGGTACAACATCTATTTGACAGAGATAATTTGACCATTTTTTCCCTATTTTAATATTAATGTAAAATGTGTACTTATTTGCTCACTTGGTGCCCGTGGAAACATTGAAACACCTGGGTGCAGGTGTGGAAATAACTAAAATTGCTAGTGTACTCCGGTACAGTCGCACATGTAAAATCTCATTTCCTGAGAAAGTTTCCACTATACAGGTTGATTTTCTTGATTTTTAAAAATAAGCAACACAATTAACATTGGAAAGTCAAATGGTTATCGGTACAGTATTATATACAAATTTGCTTGCCCGACAGAAAAAACACTGGACTGGGGCGTCCGGCAATGGGCTATTTCCACCCGTGGGGTGTCTATATTTATAACTATATTATCAAGATGGAGGGAATACCAGTGGCATAAGCACTCAAGCAAAGTTTCTTAAGTCACAGACAGAAGTTAAAAGTATTAACCATGATCATGTTAGGCTAGATGTTGGAATTCTATAGTGCGTCATTTTAAAATAAAGTTGAAGAGGAACTTCTTGAGTAAATAGTATGAATATCAATGGTATGTTTCAATACGTTACATAAGCTGTGGGGTCAGCTTGACCAGACAACACTACAGTATATATGAAAGCGAGATGATTCAATTCAAATGTTTGAAATAAATATTGATTTTGTTCCTGTGATGTTGGGAAGTAATTTTTGCTGAACAAAATAGAACTTTGTACTAAACAGGTTTAGATCATGTTTAGAAAATACCTTTCTGCTCACAGAACATCAGTGAATCTTTGGTCTGAAACTGTCTATTCCTAAAACTTCAGCTGTTTCTATGAACTGAAACGTCCCTTTGGCATCTTTGGAAGCTTTTTGTGTAAATATATTATGTTGAAGATCTTTGCTATTTTAAGACATTACAGATGCAAACTCAAATTCTGACTAATAGAAGTACATATTTGTTTTTGTAAAAGACTGTAGAACTGATAACAAACTCACTCAAAAGAAAAAGGGTTGTATTAGATACTCGCTAACAAAACAAATTATATGAAGAGATGACGCAGAATAAGTTTTGAGTGAATGCTGCTTGTGTTTGTAGAATGCCCAGAGTGAACTCAAAGGTGATGAAGTGAAAGACACCCCTGCACAGGTGGAGGAAGTCAAAACAGAGGTGAAGATCCCACCAGCAGAACCGGTGAATAATGTTGCTGATGTGGGCAAGGAGAATAAAATGCCGAATGTAGAAATAGAAATCAAAAACTCTGAAGAAAGTGAAGTAAGTCGTAAAAATGCCAAAAATGAGGAGAAGACAAATGAGGTGACAACGACAGAGGAGAATTCCGTTGAAAAGAAGCAAGCGCTAAAATACAAGTACAAAGAAGGTAAGATATCGAGGTGTTCCACATTTCTGTCTAGCCATTACACTCAGGACTTTTACCTGGTCATGCTGATCAAAATGAAAAGGCTCCTCAAGTCACAGGTGTAATGCTATTTAGCAGTTGTAAATGACTCACTCTCACTCACTGTAACTTTATATTTCTGCTAATTCATCATGACTCGGGGGAGTGGTGGGGTATCTTGGGTGTTAAATGTTTGCTCAGCACACCAAAGATCTGGGTTTGATTCCCAACATGGGTACAATGTGTGAAGCCCACTGGTGGTATCCCCTGCCGTGATAATACTGGAATATTGCTAAAAGTGACGTAAATCCCAACTCACTCATGACACGACTCCAGGCACAGAATTGGGTAGGCAAATTCATTCATGGAGTATGCCTCTTTAAGCACAAGTATTTATTACCTGATAAGTTAATGTGTGAGGTCAATTTTACAAGTCTTTACCCTGTCAGTTTCTCTGTGAACCTTTTTGGATCAACAGTGAGAATTTTGCACCTGGCCATGTTTTTATCTTGAACTTTGAGACGAGACAATTCAGTTTCCAGTTTGAGATAAGATCGATTTCATTGTGCCTGCTTCAGAATATATCGCTTCTATTTGCAACATGAAAGAATCACGCATATATAATTTTTATGTTGACTTTTCAAGCAATGGAGAGTAGGCTCAAAAAATGAGTGATATTGCTTTTATGATAGCAAGAAAATTTTATGATTGCATGTGTCAAATAAATCGCTCCTTTAATTGACGGTGGTTTGATTGTGTTCAGACCAGTGGAGTCCCTTGAACCCTGAGGGCAAGATGACGTATGACCGTGAGTTCCTGCTACAACTCCAGTACTCCAAAGACTCCATGAAGAAGCCTGATTCTCTTCCCAACTTCCCAGAAATCATTCCTGATAAGGTAGGAGGACAACACATTCAATGTGTTTGAAGTCTTGTTCGACAACATTGAGGCCAGCTTATGTTTTCTGAAACCAGGGGAGATACCTTAATGCAAATAGTTTTTGTGGATGAATAACCCAGAAGTATTCTTTCATTAAAGAGGAAAAATCTGTTTGCATTCATGACATTTTTGAGAATATTTTCCTTTTTCTTTCAGCCTCCCAAGCAAGGCATGGACATGAGGGGTGGAGGAGGTGGTGGCGGAGGTTACGGCCATGTACCAGACTTCACACCAGGATTCCTTAGGCCGTCCAGAGGGGTAAGTTGTTGGTGTAAAATAAAGTTGAGTTCAAAGCATATCCAATCAGAAGTTAATGATTGGAAGAATTTAAAAATGTTATAAATAATTCAAGCAGTTTATATAGTTCCGAAGTTAAAGGATCTGATATTCCCTGCCTTGGTATTATTTTTTAAATGTATCTGTGCGATACCCATGAAAGATCTTCTTACCTTAAACTTGACTTGAGGGTCATTATGTCTGCAAATTCAGTTGACATAAAGCATTGGTTTGCCTATCTTATTGTCTGTAGACTGACTATTTATATCAAACTGTCCTTCTGCTAACCAACATTGAAAGAATCCAATTGTTACTAAACTGCCATTGATGAGAGATGGTTTTGTCACTTTTCACCAACAATTTTGTAAATGAAAGGAGATATTTTCGTTATTGTTGCTTGGCATAGAACCTGATGCCAAATTTATATTTTCAGATGGGCAGTGGAGGTGGTGGCGGCGGAGGTGGTGGTGGTGGAGGCGGTTCTATGGGCAAGCGAGGCAGCCAGCAGCGTAACCGAAGTGACGTTAGGGTCATCAAGAATGTTTCAATCCAGCTGGATGTTAAGCTTCATCACTCAGAAAATGCCTGGAAACCAGGCACTCAGAAGTCAGACGAAGAGAAGTCGGATGAATTCAAGACCGCTGTATGTTTATATTACCCTTTAACACTTGCTAGAAGGTTAAAATTTCCGGAGCATAACTCCAAAACCTTTCAATATCTTTCAGCAAAACTTGGCAGATATATTAGACAGATCTTGAAGTGGTGCTTTTGCTATTTACAGATTTTTTTCATATTTATTTTTTTGGTTTCCATGGAAACGATTCGTACTGAGTCCCAAAAGGGAGGGGTGGGTTTCGTTTCCAGAGCACAACTCGAAAAATTCTAAATATCTTTCAGCAAAACTTGGCAGATATGTGAGGCAGATCTTGAAGTGGTGCCTTTTGCTATTTGCAGATTTTTGTGATTTATGTCATCTTCTGATGACTCTTGTTTAACAATATGACAATTCCTAACATAAGTATTTGGTGTGTTTTTTTCAGGATTTGTACCGCAAAGTGAGAAGTATATTGAACAAGTTGACCCCACAGAAATTCCAGACGTTGATTAAACAAGTTCAGAACCTGGTTATTGACACTGAAGACAGACTGAAAGGGGTAACAGATATTATATTTGAAAAGGTGAGGCATCGTCCAACAGCACGTTTCTCATTGCGAGGTATTGCCATGTCACGTGATGTATAAATGAATTTCAAGTCATGTGACAGGGATGTTGTTGTACAAGGAACTAGTGTTGGGAATCGACCTCTAAAACCATAATCAATTATTGAGGTCACCTGAAGATCAATTATGGACTTATGAACACAAGGCAAGCTCGATGAGACAACTGCTATGAGATCGCTTGTAAATGAAACATAGATTTCAATGTAGATTCTTACATCGTTATTGCTGTTAAGGAATTTGAAGACAACCATTTATGTATGTGAACTCTTATATGTATGTGAACTGGGGTTTTTATGACCCATTACTGGATACGTTGATCTTACTTTTAAGGCATGCATTTGTTTTCTAATTTCAGGCTATTAGTGAGCCTGCCTTCAGCGTGGCTTATGCAAACATGTGCAGATATTTATTAACGGTAAGTACCATATTCTTATCTGTTTTGAAATCATACCAGCAGAAATGTGTATCACTGCCAACTCTGAAAGTTTAATATATATTGTTGGTTTCAGAAACTGCCAAATGTAGAAACCTTTTTGTATTTCTCAAAAATATGAAGGAAGTTCAATGGTCATTATTTCATTCCAGCTTAAAGTGCCCTCCGACAGCAAACAAGGGGAAACAGTTAATTTCCGTGTGATATTGTTAACAAGATGTCAGCGAGAGTTTGAAAAAGATAATGACGCCCAAGTTGATCTCGACCGGAGGAAAAAGGCTATAGAGGAAGCTGACCCGGTATGTATTTTGTTTTGAAAATATCTATGAAAGTGGTCATGCAGATTGATGCATTCGATATAGATTGAAGTGTTAATTTACTTCTCTTCAGGTCTCAAGTAAATGAGATTGGGTGGTCATACTTGCTGACTGTCGACACAGGAGTTTTAAAGAAAAAACAAAACAAAACAAAAACAACTTTTACTGTATAATCACTTTGTATACCTGTGAAGTGGAACAAACTAAAGGACTATTGTGCGATGTTTTCCACAGGACAAGAAGAAGGAGTTGAAGGAAGAACTGGTTATTGCTGCCACCACTGCAAGGCGGAGATCTATAGGGAACATAAGGTATTATAGTGTTAGTGGTTTAACATGAACTGGATTTTGCCGGGTTCATCAGTATCTGCAGCACAAAGATAAGAGCCAATGCTGGGATTGGTTCACTGTCTTGTCCCAGATTCGGTTAGATCTAGGTCACTGTGATATTTTGCTGATACCAAGAACACTCAGGTTCAGTTTCTGGTGTCATGTGGTTTTCCAAACATTTATATTTTGCAAAGATCTGATTTAGGAAATTTATTAGCTGTTATTTGGTATGTGTACATAGTTGCAAACAGATGTCCTGAAATTTTGGAATGTTCTTTTTATCTTAAATGTTTGGGGGGGAAGAAATAAATCACTCAAGGGGTACTTTTTAAGCCTTGTACTGTCTGCTACAAAAATCACTTGATTGTCAATTATTATTCCCAGCCAGGGAGAGGGATATAGGTTTGAGCTCTGTCTGTCCGTCAAAGATGGTGGGGGACAGATTTTCTCAAAACCATTACAGATAGGGAAACCAAATTTGGTATGTTTTCAGGACATGAATGCCTTGATGGAGTTAGAAAACAGAAATGGTGTTACGATTCTTTACACAATTATGGCCCTTATGTATTTCCTGACTTAGTGCACGGTATCCACAACAGGGGCAGATTTTCTCAGTAACCGTTATGGATAGGAAAACCAATGACCATGTCTTCTTGTAAAATGTATTTATTTTGTAGGACTTGTCCATTCAAAAGAACTCATTTGTATCAGTTGATCTAAAATACTTTTAGAAAGTTGGTTGCTCCTCAGATATTGACATGATAATACACAACTGAAATAATCTTGATAGATTTTGTCACATGTTAACCAATGCAGATAGTGTATGAAATTATCTAATGGCCTTTCTCATCTTTTTTACAGGTTTATAGGAGAGTTATTCAAGTTGAAAATGTTGACAGAGAATATTATGCATGACTGTGTGTTCAAGTTGTTACGATCTCGAGATGAGGAGAACCTGGAATGTCTGTGCCGTCTCCTCACCACCATTGGCAAGGAGCTAGAGTCAGACAAAGCCAAGGTAACCATGTGGCCTACTTCCCTGTTGGCTGTTATTTAAGATGGGTGGTGGGGTAGCCAAGTGGTTAAAGTGTTCGCTTGTCATGCCGAAGACCCGGTTTCAATTTTTGTTTTTTATTTATTTATTTATTGTATTTTATTTATTGTATTTCATGTGTGAAGCCCATTTCTGGTGTCCCCTGTCTTGATGTTGCTGGAATATTGCTAAAAGCGGCATAAAACCATACTCACTTACAATTATTATGGTTAAGGTCCAAGGATTTGGCAGGAAAATTGTCAGGAATTCAGTGACATTTTGACATAAAGGAATTTTACAGCCTTTTTCTCTTTTTGACCTGTTTACTAAGTACTACATGTCACCTTTATACAACTGTGATATCTTTTTTGAAGTGAATATTGTAAGGTGCTTTTTAAATTATATTTTGAATGTTGGTGAATGTTTTAATATTGTACAACAAAGGTATATTGTGATTCTGAAACAAGACGCAAGATATAAAATGAAGAAATTTACAGTCGCCCTATTGATGCAATTAACGAAATATATACATATCAATGAATTACTACATGTATTTATGTATTTGTTTTCCAGCCAAGAATGGACCAGTATTTCCAACAGATGAAGAAGATAGTTGCTGAGAAGAAAGTGTCCTCAAGATGCCGATTCATGCTGCAGGATGTAATAGAATTAAGAGATGTGAGTGTTTCAGTCATGGGAAACCAGTTCAGGTGGAAAGGGAGCCTGATGTATAATGTTTTCATATGTCATGCTGGGATCTTGTGGGGATTCCTGGTTAGAATTGGTCCCAAGCAAGATGTGATGGTCAAAACAGACTGAATGGTATGGACCCTTGAAGATCCGGGGTAGAATAGGTCTTCAGCAACCCATGCTTGCCACAAAAGCGACTATGCTTGTCGTAAGAGGCGACTAACAGGATCGGGTGGTCAGGCTAGCTGACTTGGTTGACACATGTCATCGGTTCCCAATTGCGCAGATCGATGCTCATGCTGTTGATCACTGGATTGTTTGGTCCAGGCTTCCAGATAAGCAATAGAAAGCATACTTATTATTTTCAGACCGCCGCCATATAGCTGGAATATTGCTGAGTGCAGCCTCAAACTAAAATCACTCACTAACTGAATGGTATGGCTGGCCACATAGTGATTTGGTTAATGGCGGGTCAAGGTACCTTGACAGCATGGATGACTGCAATTTATGATTGCATTACAGGCCGTTATGTTGCTGGAATATTGCAGAGTTCAGTGATAAATAACAATCGTGATCTCGAAGTTCCATCACTATCTGGCTGAAATATTGCCAGTGTGACGTAAGATTTTAACTAAAAGATTTTGTCAGAACAGACTACATGATGATTAATTCCCATCTTAAGATCCATGTAGATTTCATGAATTCCTCGTTTCTGATGGTTTGTTCACTGACAAATTTGGATGACTCCAGTATTAACTACAGTTACTAATTCATGATGTTCATGGCTTGTGTTGAGACCATTCTTCTACTGCTTCAGAATAACTGGAAGCCAAGGCGAGGAGATGACAACCCCAAAACCATTGACCAGATCCACAAGGACGCCAAGCGAGAAACTCTGGAACAGAACATGTTAACAGCACGCTGCACATGGCAAATCAGCCAGCACAACAGCACCATCAACCAAGACACAATAAGCGTATGTGTATCTTGAAACAATGTTTGATTATTATCATGTTTCTGACCAATGTATGGGACTAATGTCAAGTATAATTAACAACTAAATAAATAACGTGAGTTATTCAAATAAAGGCATGCCTGGGGATATCTGCTTCATTGTTTGAAACTACTAACTCAACTATTACACAGCCACATGCACTGGAGAAACAAGATGGGTTTACTGAGTAAACTGTGATTGATGTATGTTAGTTGCCTCATGAGGCCTCGCTGTGCAAGTGGGTTTTGGGGTAGGTTAGTTGTTCACTTGTCACGCCGAAGACTCGATTCCCCACATCGGTACAATTTGTGAATCCCATTTCTTGTGTACTCTGACTTTGTATTGCACAAATATTGCTTAAAACCTTACAAGGTGACTGCTGTTTGTCTGGGCTTGCACATAGTAATCGTTGAGCAATATTTTGACCTTGTATTGCAGCTACCAGAGGCCGGCCAGGACAGGGTGGTGGAGGTGGTGGTGGTGGCGTCGGCGGCAACATGGAGGAGGGATGGAACACAGTCAGCAGCAAGGCCATCAGGAACATCGACAGAAACATTGATGTGTCCAAACTCAGGATAGAGAAGGTGAGAGATGGACTTGTATTTTGGGTGGGTCTGCTCCATGCTCTAAGATGGATAGTAATGGTTGGAGTGTTTCTGTCTGATTCTCTCACTTGCTTTTAGCTGTGAGGAATGAAAATTTTACCAGACAATACAAGACTGCAGATTCAAGAATACTATACAAGATAACTTCCTGTTTCGGTCTGGTTTATGGTCATCATGGATCAAACCATTGGTTTAAGATGGATCAACAACTCTAGGCTTCAGTGCTACACATGATATTTGAAGTTTAAACTGCTCTCTTGATACGAAGGTTAAAAATTGTAAACTTGGGATCTTTTTCCCCATAGGGTATCCCCAAACAGACTGTATGATGATTAATTCCCATCTTAAGATTCATGTGGATTTCATGAATTCCTCGTTTCTGATGGTTTGTTTGGAGACAAATGTGTTTTGGTCTGCTTGATGTTGCAAGGGAAATGCTGTATTTTTGCACAAAGATCTGGGTAAAATGTTATCCATAAAAGTTGTGTACTTGTGTACTTGTACCCTGTTTAACAAGTAATTAACTTTGTGCAGAATGCTGACGAGAACATCCAGCTAGGCCCAGCTAGGAGTTTCGGTGGCTGGGGAAGAGGCAGTAGTGGTGGAGGAAGCAGAGCATCGAAGGAGGGTGACAAGCCAAATGCCCCTGGAAACAGGTGAGAAAGGAATATCAGTGTAAAGCTAAATGTTTGTAAACAGACTATTTGATGATTAATTTCGAGCCGTAAGCAATAAGTGCAGGATAAGTATACAAGTATAAAAAATATTTCGATTTTACTAATTCTGATAGTCCGTATATGGGCACTATAATCTTCATGTTGGTCCTCCGGATCCGGAAAATTTTTAACACAGGATGTTCCTTTCTGATTTTTGCAGATTTTCTGCTCTGAGCAGAGAAGATGACCAGAGGTCTCGTCAATTTGGTCGTGGTGTGAGTCCAGCACGTGGAGACGGTCGTAATCGTGCCAACACGCCTGGTGGCTACAACCGAGGAAAGGTGATCAATCGGTCATCTCAGGAGTTGGAAAGAGAACGTGCCCTTGCAAGTGCTAGGTATGTCACATTTTATTGTGGGGCAGAAAGGGATCTCCTTATATGACAGGGTAGTTAAGAGGCCTGTGTCCCATTCCTCAAAGCAATTGTAATCCTAAGACGATCATAACTCCCATACTTTAACATGGACTTGTGACAGTTATAGCGATCGCTTCGACAAACGAGTCCCAGTACTGTAATCAAGCAAGGTATTGGCCCCTTCACAACACTTGTGAATGCCTTTTAAGGATGTAGGTTCAGGTTCAATCTCACAATGATCTAGAGTAGTAAATGAGCATGCCACGTATGTTGAAGAAATATTCATAGCATTGTCTTATTTGGAATAAATCACCGTCACCATTACCTACTTGGTGTTCATGAGGTTATGTTCTGTTCTAACAGGAGTATTGTGAGTGGCCGGGCCACCCCTCCTTCAGGAAACACAAGTAGAGAGGGAAGTCGAACACGGTCGTCACAGGAGGTGGAGAGACCTGCACCATCTATGAAGGAATTGTCAGAGGAAGAGATGGAAAAGAAGACCTATTCAATAGTAGATGAATATTTGCATATACAGGATCGCAAGGTCAGTCTGAGTATAAGAGCAATTGGGTGATCAGGACATCTATAGATTCCAAGTAAATGATCTTGCTTTGATTTAAATGTTCGGCTAACATAAAACAAAAAAACAAGCTAGGGAAGTGAAATATTCCCCATCAAAATGTGGCATAATTGAGAATTCTGACAAATGAGGCATCTTCTAGCAATCAAAACTTTGTATCATTTGAATGAAAAGGTACATTTGAAGAAGACAAAATATGTATGTGTATTTATATATTACATAGATAAATAAAAACAGAATATATATATATATATATATAGAGAAAGAACAAGAATTTAAACAATAGAAGAGTGTTTCTCAGGCCTGTGGCTAATTGTATATGCGTTGTCGCCCTCTGCTAACATGATGATTTTGATGTATTTTCAGGAGGCTATTCAGTGTGTACAGGAGTTGAACTCGCCCAAAACCATCCATTTCTTTGTGTACTTTGCAATTAACCATGTGCTAGAGAGGTCAAAGCAAGCTCGCCAACAGACAGGGCACCTGCTGCATGATTTGATCAACCAGAAAATCATCTCTGTTGACACCTACTTGCAGGGGTGAGTATTTGCCTGGATTGAAAATGTTTTCTGAAAAGAGCCAGATAACCTTGATTTGGAAATCCATGGGTACAAGTATTTTGAAATGTCATGTTTGATACATTAAATATTAAATATTAAATGGTGAAATGGCAACCTTTGCTTTACCTGTTTCAGATTGACAGAGATTCTTCAGTCAGCTGAGGACATGGAGATCGACATCCCCAAGATCTGGCAGTATCTTGGCGAGTTGATCGGACCCATGATCCAAGATGGCAGTGTTCCACTCAGCTTCCTTAAGAAGGCCTGTGAGCCATTGAAGGCATCTGGGAAGGCAGGCAACCTCATGGCAGAGATCTTACATGATGCCAGTCAGAGACTTGTAAGTTACTTTAGGCCACTATATCCTTATGAATTTAGGTTTACATTAGTTAACAAAATACAAATATGTATTGAATATGTCCAGATTATTAATTCCGATGAATTTTATCTTGACTTCCAGAAACTTTTCTTAAGCCTCAAATCCATAGCAATTTCATGTTCAAAGTAATATACACGTAAAATTGCTGGCGTGCCTGTGTGCTCAATATTATCAAATTGCATTCATGTGCATAGAAATAATTGGGCATGTGTTGTTTCAACTTATAAATTCAATTTTAGGGCCACAAGATTGTCACACATTTATGGCGAAACAATTGCATGGACTGGAGTTTCTTTGTACCTCAGGAAAAAATCCAGCAGTTTTTGAAAGAAAAGGTAAAATAGTTAACCACAGCCATTATCATTGTATTTGATGGAATTATTGTCTTTCTTATGTTTGGGTTCATGTTGCTGATGTGAAGCCCATTTCTGGTGTTCCCCACCATGATATTGCTAGAATATTGCTAAAAGTATCGTAAAACTTTTCTCACTCAAGTTGCTGATAACTCATATCTTTAAGTTGATGCAAAATCTGATGGATAATGCATACTCATTTACCTTTACACTATTTGAAAACACCTGTCAGTAGCACCTGCCATGCTGCAATAAAGGGACATAATCCAGTGTTTCCTCCCCTTGTTCCAGAATCTGGAGTTCACTGTGGGCCCTGACTCGGCACCCAGCACACCTACCAGTAAAGTGTCCATAGAATGGATCAAACAGAACCTTTCAGAGCTCTTGCTCAAGCCTAAATGTGATAATGAACAGATATTTGACTGGATCGAGGTAAGTACTGATAGAATAAGCATCAAAGACATTTTCCATATTCTGTCAAACCGCTTTCAAGTGTAGATGACCGCCTCTGTGGTATAGTGGTTAGGGCGGAAGATCGTGGGTTTGATCCCCGACCGTGTCATACCAAAAGACGTTAAAATATGGTCCTTGTTGGTCCCTGCCTGTTGCTCGGCATTAATGGGTACAACAAGGACTGGTCGGCTCGGAGTCAGTATAATGTGTCTGAGTGGGGTATTCATGCTTCACTGCGGCGTGGTATCTCAGTAGGCTAGCACTATAAAAAACCAGCTTCTGTCTGGGCTAGTACAAGCAGCCGCACATACACACGCATGCATGTCGTCATATGAGCGAAATATTCTAAAGCACGACGTTAAACCCAATTTCACCTCACCTCAAGTGTAGATGCTGTGAATTATAGCACTGAATGATAGAAGACATTGTCCTCGTGTACTTGTTTAATCCTAAAATAAATATAGCAAACATGCTTGGGCAATCAATTTAAGATGAGCCTTGTCTTATTACTTTTTCAGTGATTGAGCTTAGGATTTTCTTTGACAAGAGATTTCAGTGAAAATGTTCACATGTGCCTGAAGTTTCATGGAGCACCCCAAACATATTTTTCTTTGTTCCAGGCCAATGTCCCTGATGAGATTACCAAAGAAAACAGATTTATCAGGGCTTTGATGACCACGGTTTGTTCCAGTGCAATAGTGGGTGAGTGTCTTGGACTAACAGCATTATAGAAGTGTATTTTGTTATCCTTAACCTTTTCAGTATAAGCATTTGTTTCAAATATTAACAAGTACTTGTATCATATTTCATGATCAAGCATGTTTCAGTTCCTTGTTATATAAAAGCCTACAAGGTGATCACATTTTTCCAGATGACGCCCATGTCAGTTCCCATGAAGGTCACCTCTCCCTTATTGCAAACAGCCCTTATCATTGAGACTTGCCAATATCAGTAACACTATCCCATGTTTTTCAGGCACTGGCAACATGACAAAAGTTGACCAAGAACCCATAAAGAAGTGGCGATCCCTCCTGCAGAAGTATCTAGATCACCAGCCTGTATTTGAGCTGCAGGCCCTCTATGCTCTGCAGGCACTTGTCCACTCGCTGGAATACCCTTCAGGTATGTTCATGCTAATACTCTTTGGACATGACTTTGAGGTTGACAACCTGTGACCTATAAGATGGCATGATTGCAACACTTTTGTGAAAATAGTAGAAAGTATTTAAGTTAACAGTGACCTGATGTCTGTATTTTACTTTCATTTCTTCTCTATACATCATGTGATCAGTAAACACGCGTAATATTTTGTTAGGTTATCAGTTATAACTGGTTGGTTTTTGTTCCACCAGAAATAATATTGTGACAAGTGTGATTATTCTCAGAATATTAGGCAGTGGGGTAGCCTAGTGGTTTAAAGTTTTTGCTTGTCACACCAAAGACACATGTTTGATTCCCCACATGGATGCAATGTGTGAAGCCTATTTATGGGGTCCCCTGCCTTGATATTGCTGGAATGTGGCTAAAAGTGGCTTAACTCACTCAATTAAATATTAGAAAGTATGAACACCTGTTGTACCTTTTGCTGTACTTAACACTGTAATTGCTTCATCTTGCAGGTGTCTTGCGGACATTCTTTGATACACTGTATGATGAGGAAATCATCTCAGAAGATGCATTTAATCAATGGGAAACTAGTAAAGAGGAGCAGGAAGGGAAGGGAGTTACGCTCAAGCAAGTTGTTCAGTTCTTCGCATGGCTACGCGAAGGTGAAGAGGAGGAGGCTGACAGCTGAGAATAGGCTTATTATTAGGACAGACTTGGATCACAAACTGCAATATGAAATTACAAATATGATTGTCATTGCTGTTTAAATGTGTGCACCAGAGGATGAAAGAAATGATTAATTTATGAGCTTGCTGTATAAATGTGCTTTCTACTTGTTGGAGAAAACAAAGGATCTTCTGACAGCCAAATATAACCATGGATGTGTTTATTTTTTTTGTTGCCATGGTATTCGTTGATGCAGATGTGTTTGTTAATGCATATATTCATTATGTGCATTTAAAAATTTGCCTAAACGGCTGTGCGTTTGTATGTATGTCGAGGGAGATGATGACTAGCCGAGGAATGAGGGAGTCTGAAGAATATTCAGAATACCTTGATCTACTGTGAGGTGCTAGGCTTGTTTGAGGATGGATATATAACTTTAACCAGAAGCCCTGCAAGGGAATTTCAGTTGTTTCTATTTTGTTTCTTGGTGAATTCTATGGATCATGTTTTGTTTTTTTTGATAATCATTCTTAAATTATATACATATATACATATTATATATAAACTGCATAATTTCATATGCAAAGTTGTGTTGGTCGAACTGTATGAATGACCGATACAAACTATCTTGTGGAAGACGAGCCACTCAAGACAAGAATATGAAATGTGCATTCTCTATAGACTATTGACAGTGAACCTGACAAGTCAGGTTGTGTCCATCAACTTTGGATAATACAAACACTTTGAAGCCTGGACTTCGTGAACTACAGATGATATGAAACACTTCCCAGCTCAACCAACTAAATGCCTCTGAAAGCTATGATTGAGGGGCACATGTGAAAGAACATTGAAACATGGCTACAGCAGACACCTACTTCGTAGGTGCCGAAACCTGCCTCTTTGTTTTGCATGAGAAATTTGTATAGTTGGTTACCATTACAGATGCCTGATCTACCCTTCAAAACCATTACGGGGAAACAAGTTTCCCATTAATGACATGAGTTTATTGAATGTGAATGCCTATGGATATGTTTGTGTATATATTGACTACAAGGATATTGGTATGATAATGGAGTTTGTTTGAATTCCTATTCATGGAAATATGGCCCATTTCCATTGAAAAAGAAAGTCATAAAAGCTATTATTCTGTCATGAAATGTTGAAAGTGCAAAATATCCATGAAAAAAATATTGAATATGTGAATGGTACCTCGGATATATAGTTTAGAGGTATCAAATATTACAGGTTGCAACTACTAGGAGATGTGAAACTTGCCTTTATTTATATTTGTAGGATTTGATAATGTAAGCCTCATGTCCTGAGATGAATTGATGGTGTGATTGTGCTCAGTGATTCCTGAGTTATGGCTGACTCGTGGCTCTACTACCAGTATCGTTGGTTGAGCTGGGCACAAACTCATCCCTTCCCAAATGCTGTCTGTGATTACTACAAGCTAACAGGCAGCCTGCTGAGCGTGACCACCACAGTAATGACAGAACGCAAACTGATGTAAATAAAACAAGCCAATGACAGACTTTCAAAACAGGCTTTTTTGTTGTCTTTCTGCTTTTTAGCCATGTTGAGGTGTTGGGTTGTGTGAGATCCCAGTTGCGACCCTTGGGCCCAGTGGTTTAAGATATTCCATTCACTGACATCAGCTGCCTTGATGCCTCATGTGCAAGTATCAGATAGTATGGGATCCTATCCCAGAAACTGAGACTTCGTCATCACCATACACTGTTTGCTGGTTTGAAAATGGCAATAGACATCATCCATGGGTCTGTGGCTGGAAGTTCCTCTGCCTGACACCAGGCTCTGAGGGGATAAAAAGAACTGTCAGCTGGTGTATTTGATGGGTTAGCAGTGTAATACAAGTAGTTGTGGGGAGCTGCATCCTTTTGACGTGCCAGAATCCAATCTCTGTGGGGATTCCAGATTTTTTTCACAACTTCCCATTTCAAGATGACTGACTGTGACGTGTTTCTGCAACCATGTGATGTTAGTCCATTCTTCGCTTATATAGAGGATATTATATCAGTGCCCATGTCATACTATCTTTACGACATGAGTGCCTACATGTTGGTATTTCCCGAGCTAGAGCGAGGGATATGCCGATATTTAGGCACGAGTGTCGTAAACATAGTATGATATGGCCACGAATATAATATTCTGTTTATTACCGAAGTCTTCAAATTGAGGAAACAAACCCAAATCTACTTTCAAACATAGGCTGGCTACCCGCCATCGCCGCATGCAGAACGCAACGTCACAGAAGAAATGTGACGTCATAGCATTGTTCATGACGAAGTGGTATTTTGTCCTAGGGCATCGTATGATTAGTATGAACCCCGATATTTTCGCCCTCGTAGGTAATAGAGGATACTAAACGACCTTTCATGTAATACCATTTTTTATTAAACGAGTTAATGATTTGGTATCAAACTGCCTACGTAGTGTGCTGAGTCTCAGCTCTTCACGAGTCAAGCAAGGTTTAATACCATTGTGACATTCTACCATGGCTACGTGAAATGCTCGAATTTGATTGGTCAAGCCATAAAATCAGACGGTATCAATTTGGATTGAAAATGCGTCTGATTTCACGGCGCTTCACTGCGCACGTATACAACACTGCCGCATTCAGCTTCAGCTTGGCCACCATGACTAATATCAACACAACAGACGTGATGGGAATGCGGATGAAACATTGATTAAAACTCGAAAAATACGATTTCTCCTCCACAATTATTAGGGGACCTCACTATCATAATTATTACCTTCTATTATAAAAATATTCAAACAATCGGTCGTTCACGAAACCTACGTCTGCTCGAAGGTGAGAATTTACACGAATTTACACACTTTCGCACATGTGCAAAAGCATTACCAATAGATGACAACAAATAGCAGTTTAGTATTTTGCAAGTGTTATAAACACGGACAATTCTTGTAACTACAAAATTGTTTTTGCTTCACGTTTTTCGTCACTACTAGGCATTGAGTTGGTACAGGCGAGAAAGCCGTGACACAATGTAAACAAATCTGACAGCCAGCTGATTTCGGTTAGGGTCGACCGAAATAGCAAAACTTGTTACATTAAAGAACAATGTGGTGGATATGGTTGCATTCAAGGTGATTAGATATTCTTAAATTTGTCACACATTTTAAGATGTTTTAAAGTTTCAAAAGTTTTAAAAGTTTCTGAAGGCCTATGAACAGTACAGTATCTGTTGACAGTGCAAAATATTCGAGGAGTAATATTTTTTATCCAAACGGAAATATTGTCAGTGTCAGCAGTTGCCTATCACGCAATATCAAACGTCAAAATTAATTCAAATGAGTGTCTATAAAACCATGTCTTAAATATTTCTGAATTTCTATAAAGAGATGGGACCTTGAATTGATTTAGCTTACTCCATGTGGATCGGAGACGAAAACTATGTGAGAAGAATAGTGACTTTCTGGAATATCGGACGGAGGAAATATAAGTTTATTTCCTAACTATGAGAACATTATTTGTTTTGATTTTTTGTCACAGCATACTTTTTTTACATGTAGGGTGGGGGTTGGGGTTGGGGGTATATTGGTACATTTTAGGAGTAATTACATAGTTCTGTCATTTTAATTATAATTCACTGGAAATGATAGCGAGGTTTGTTTTAAGAATCTTGCCTCCTTCAGGAAACGTGGAAAGGTAATAAAAATAGGTAATAATCGAATCAATTATAAATAATAACTTAATTGTCTCACATATCAGATTCATGTAAATTTAAGGCAGAACTAGGCAAACAAACACTATATACATATCATGGCTGAACAATCACTTGGTACTAAGATAGCTAGATTGTTTTAAGATATATTTGGTCTTTAAATAATATGTTTACTAATAAGATTATTCAGAGAGTGATCACTAGTATCATCACTCATAATATAAAGTTATTTAAACATCCAGAGAATTTGAAAAAAACCCAAAGGCTACGTTTTGTTCACACTCAGGCACTATTCAGTCTTGGAACCAAATAACTTACAGAATTCTAAGTTGACTGTTCATGTAACTGGAATGGATATTGAAACATATCATATTCAACCCCGATTTCATGTAATACTTCTTAGAAATCATCAGCTTTTGAGGAGGTTACCAATATTTGAAGACTGAGCCAAAACAGTGTTTATTAAGATGTTGGTTTTGGACAAATTGTTAAAGGTTTGTTGACGCTTATTTGGAAAATAAGCTTAAATTCATAATTAATTGCACACTGGTTTAATTGCAGGAGGTGAAAGCTTCAGGACATTTTCATGTATGTTTTCCTAAACTTTTTGTTATGACTTTTACCAAATTTTAAAGCAACTTTAATATAATTTTGATGACACTAGTAAGTATCTCAGAAAAGGAAATAGATCAGAATTAGTGTTATGTCCCTAAGGGATATGGTCTCAGATCTAATAAGATTATCATTGTTTAGAAGCAATAATGTCAATATGTAATTTTATTGACAAAAGCTTTAAACTTTGAATATGTTCTTTGCCTCTTATTTACATTAGTAGTTAGCAGTTAAATATATCTGAAGAAAAGCAGTATATTTGTATGTTGTGTAACATTCTATTTCAATGCTAGTTAACTGTTCGGATTACTGTGGATCCTCTGTTCAAAGATTTTGCATCACACGTTTCCTATTTATGGAAGATGTGTCAGTGTACAGGTGCAGACTGTATCTTGGATTCTTTGTGTTTATGGTGGTGTGACATACCTGTAGATAAATGCTGGCAGTTCATGAAGTCCATTATAGTGGAGGTTTGTAGATTAGGATTCCACAACAAAGTACACATAGAAAAATAAATTGGTAAGGATTATTAAAAAAGCCAGTGTCATTTTAAGATGGTGTACAGATTTTGAAGAGAAAATGTTACTGAGAATAGCTGCAGATTAGCTGCTGAATATTTGCTTCTGGGTATGTCCAGATACATCCATGTTAACAGGTCAAGTAACGTTTTCCAGATAATATATACAGACAAACAAGGTGGACGAAGTAGTAGACGGGATACTGTTTTCCTGCGTTGTTCCTTGAAAGGTAGAAACCCATGTTTTCACAAAATTCTAATGTAACTAAATTTGAACAAGGGATAAATAAATAAAGGTGGCACGCGCAGTTTTGACAATCTTTTTATAGATACCGAAACGATCTGCAACTTGCACATGTGGTTGTGTTCACGGTTTTTATAATATTACGATGGGAATTTTTTAGAAAAAGCAACAAACAACATAATTCAGTTACCTTTCCCCTGCTAATAACTTTCACGAACGTGAATTGCCGGATAAATTATTTGGTAGAAAATACGCTTCATTTTTCATCGGGCATGTAGATCTACATTTTCACTCGCCAATTATACAACCTGTCAACTAAAATATATTGAAAATAAAATACGTATAACTTTCCTTTTTAAATATCATTCACAAACGACGGATACCAAAGTACAACAAACAGAATTCATCAACAACATTTGCAATCACGTACGTTTCACCGGCGGTGACGCCATTGTGATTAGTCAGTGGTTGTCCCCGCTAACGTCAAAAACGAAGTGGGCGGGGCTTATCGGCCGGGACTGGATCGGTCTATTACAATACACAGCCCCTAACATAAACAAACAATATCTAACATATAAATCCTTGTAAAAATACATCCCTATTTATCCCTATTTGTGCGGCAAAACGTTCGTAAACATTTACCTACCTGGAAACGGAAACAAATATACCAAGATAACGGTCAGGCAAAACACAAAATTTGCCACTCATACTCCATCATGTCCCGTTGCATCGTTCAAAATGTCAAAAACTGAACCATGAGAGTTCAGTTCTCTGCAAACCTTCCCCGAAGGCTGTCACTGCTATGTTCGTACACTTTGAAAGGCTTGGCCACAATCCAGGCCCAAATGATGAGAACAATGTTCCAAGGAATCCCAAGTTAGTCGCATGTACACAAAGCTGCACTGTCACTCTTCCTCGCATGCCGGAGTGAGGCACGTACGTGAAATCATGATCGACACTCGCCAGTCATAAAAATCAACAGTCTTTGATGAGTTACAGGTTATAGGTCGTTCAGAAAAGGATCTATTCTTCGATTCTGCAGGGTTCAGGTTCGACAGTCAGTCAAGTATTTTCCACTGTCACTTCGAATTTCAACCTTTCGCGAAGTGTAAACACTGGCTCGTCCGTCATTTCAAACTGTTGCGTAACTGTCTACTTCCAAGAAAATAAGTAGGTCAGACGATTCCATTATACTGTGGCCAGGGGGGTACAGTAATACGGCACACAAAACAATAGGCTGGTTTCGGTCTTGTCTTCAAGCTCTTAGGTGTTACATCATTGCATTGAATAAACAGTAGTTTGTTTTCTTTGGACAGAATATTTGTTATGTTGCAATGTTAAAAAAAATACGAACGGAACCTACCACTCCTTTATCAGGCGAGTTCAATCATTCGCCTCTCATCCCATGCCGGATTACGCCGTGTCTTCCGCAGGACGAGGAAGTTCGATGTTAAATCGGTTAT